AGCAAAGAGAGTGCTCCCCATTACCTAACAGATGTGGAATAAAGCTCTGTCACTGCTGTTTTGATCACACGGAAAAATAATGTTGCCTATGTACCCTGAAAGAGAAGTTGCTGAGACTTTATGTGATGTTGGGCCTCTTTTACTTGAATTAATATTGTGGATTTGGGATCCAATGACCCTCTTCCTGTTATATTGTGTTTCTTGTTTTCTGTAACCATGTGAATCAGGGATGTAAATCAAATCACCTGTGGCCCTCCAAATATTGATGGACTCCCATCATCCCATCATCCCATCATCCCTAGCCACATCCCAATTGTTCTAGCACGACAGGTCCATTAAATCTCATACACCAAATCTTGTTTATATTTGTACAGAAAATTATATTTGTACAGAAAATCTTCACTGAGTTCCCTAGGAGCCAGACTTTCATAGGATACAGTCCAAAACAATTCCTTTTTACTTAACAGTCTTTCATCACCACTGACCTTTTCAATGGATCACAACATAATGTTATTGCATTTACATTGCTCTTCAAGAAAACGTTTTACTAATTGAGGCCCCCTTCTTTGATGCTGCAAGTGGCCTAGATGTCTTTCCTCCATAGATCTGCGGGATAACCAGCCTCATAGAACCAACATGCTTATGTCTAATTAATGCATGAAGTCTAATTAATACCATGAACCAGGACTTTGAAGAGTTTGTAAGTAAACAAAATTTTGACTAACCAAATGTGTGGTCTTTTCCTTTGCTGGTGGCAGAGGAAAATTATGGAACTCACTTAAAAAGGCATGTTTCAAAGGTCTGACAGCCTAGATTTTCCACATGCTTCTTTGCTGCATATTTTGTGACTTTAAATATCTGCTGGGGCTCTCTCACCCAAGAGTACCTGCTCCAAACTTGGGTTTTGGCATCCAGATACACACACACACACACACACACACACAATCTTATTGTGGGAACATACAATCACAAAAACGACTCCTGCAAGTCAGAATGGACCATGGACCTAATTTCAGGGATGGTGTCCTTGTGAGCCTGGTTGTGTGAAACAGAGTGGACTGAAGATAAGTATTCTTGAGACTTCTATATTCACTATGTATCAACCAATCTTTAAGATTGTTGGTTCTTTTAAAACCACCAAGTGTTTTTTGATGTCAAACGTGGCAGGTCTTGTACTACATGCCATTTGGAACATATGTGCATTTGTAAATCTTTTTGTGACCTGGCTGAATGGGAAAAAATACATGAAATTCTGTTGTTTGCTATTCTTCTTTGAGGAAACATGATAACACATCTACAGATGTTGGCCCTATTCAAGGCTGATTCTACAACCCTAGATGGGTAACCTTTATTATAAAAGTGTCATGGTAAAACTTGTGGTTCTTTCATGTTCTCCTGATTTTCAGACCATTCCAGAGCTCCTCTTCTTTCTACTGACTTCAGTGCTTCCCACCACCACCCTTGCTCATTTCAGTCTCTAACCAGGCTGGAAATCAGATTGAAAGGGGTAGAGAAGCATTTTGCAGTCATGCTACTGGCACTGAGTGGAGCTATATGTCAGGGTAATGCTACAGATAAAAGTCTCATTGTTATCTGGAAAGGCCATCAAGGAAGTGGGTGCATGGGTTCCTGCATGGAGCAAAGGTGATGTTCCCTAATCATAGCTAAAACTCTGAGGCCACAATCCTATACTTACCTGGGAGTAAAAAGGTAAAGGAAAAACCCCCTGGACAGTTAAGTCCAATCAAAGGTGACTATGGGGTTGCGGCGCTCATCTCGCTTTCAGGCCGAGGGTGCCGGCATTTGTCCACAAGCAGTTTTCTGGGTCATGGGGCCAGCATAACTATACCGCTACTGGCTCACAGAGGACTGTGACAAATGCCAGAATGCACGGAAACACCATTTACCTTCCTACCGCAGTGGTACCTATTTATCTACTTGCACTACGTGCTTTCAAACTACTAGGTTGGCAGGAGCTGGGACAGAGCAACGGAAGCTCTCCCCGTCACGGGTATTCGAACCGCCGACCTTCCGATCAACAAGCCCAAGAGAGGCTCAGTGGTTTAGACCACATAAGCCCAACTGAACTCAATTCAACTATCTTCCAAATGGACACATAGAGGATTTTCGGCGGCCGGCTCTGCACAAGCTTTGGGGGTCTGCTCCTCACAAGCGACAGCGGCCAGCTCCTCAACAAGTCAGAGCAATCTCCCTCCATTTTCCATTTTCAAATGAAGCATCCATGCATCTATTCTTTGCATGGACATATAAAGGTAAAGGGACCCCTGACCATTAGGTCCAGTTGTGACCGACTCTGGGGTTGCGGCGCTCATCTCGCTTTATTGGCTGAGGGAGCTGGCGTACAGCTTCTGGGTCATGTGGCCAGCATGACTAAGCCGCTTCTGGTGAACCAGAGCAGCACACGGAAACGCCATTTACCTTCCCGCCAGAGCGGAACCTATTGATCTACTTGCACTTTGATGTACTTTCAAACTGCTAGGTTGGCAGGAGCAGGGACCGAGCAACAGGAGCTCACCCCGTCACGGGGATTCAAACCGCCAACCTTCTGATCGGCAAGTCCTAGGCTCTGTGGTTTAACCCACAGCACCACCCGCGTCCCATGGTCATGGACATATACCTCAAGCAATTGATTCATACAGGAAGTGTTTGAGTTGAAAGAGATTGAATCCCTTCAAAATAACTTTGTCAAGCTCCTTGGAGTTTGAGTGGGCAAACAAGGCCTCTTTCAGGTGACTTTGTTGTTTTAAGGAAGATGGATCGGGTAGGACGGTGGTCCCCCAAGAAGTGATGGGGGGTGGGCAAGCTGCTGTGTTTGGGCAAGAGGGAGGTGAATAAGGGTTATCAAGCAGAGCCAGGAATGGAGCTGGCCCTTAGCAAAGGAAACAGCAGCATACTGCCAGTACAAATATGAAGCTTTTGTTCGTTCTGCTTGCCTGAGTTGCATTGGGTTAATTTGCTATTACCCAAAGTACTTGACAGCAATGATTAGCAAAGCCTGCAATAACAGTGAGAATTAAGAAAAGTGGTAAAAGAAGGAAGCTAAAAAGCAGCTCCTAGATAAGGTATCATTCATAGGAAGTGGATGGCAGGATCAAGGGCTTGGGGAGTGTTTGGCAGCTAAAATATCCTGGCAAGTTGTCACCTACAGCTTTCACACATTTCATTATTCAGAAAGTGCAAATACACCTCTTCAAGCTAAAGCCACAATTATTGCTGAGGCAAAGTTAAGCATGCTTGATGGTTAATGTTGCAAAGTATAGATAAGTATTTGGTGTATCCTGGGTCAAGGCTAGAGCTTTGGCAAAAATTCCCCCCCTCCTTTTTTTCTCTTCATCTTTTTGTAGTTCCTGGTGCTTTGAACAGGGCTGCATTAACCATTATGCTGTCATTCCAGACAACCTGGGACCCATTGCAATAGGATGGTTGTTTAAAATAAAAAGTACTTTCATGTGAATTAACAAGTTTATCCCACTCCCACTGCTGGCATCCTTTAACATTTCCCACAGCTCAGAACGGCCATCCCATCAGGCTGCCTTAGTGGGAGGGATGGGAAACAGGGCTTCTCGCATCAGCTTTGCCGAAAGACCAGCTGCATCAGGCACCTCCTACCCCTGAACTATTTCTTCACCGGCTGGTCATGATAAGAAATGCTCTTTGACCATTAGTGTCTTAGTTTGCTTTCTGCGTCTCTTCCCTCCCTGTTCTTTCCCCCTTGCTTCTCACTTTTGTTAGATTGCAAGCAGGCAGGGCCTGTCTTATTTTAATTGATTGTATGAAAACCATTCTGGGAGCCCTTTTGGCTCTTCAGAGTGGGGTACAAATGCTCTGTTTAAAACAAATAATATAGCGTGGCTGTTCCTTCAGGACATCATAGAATTGCAGAGTTGGGAGGGACCATGAGAATCATCTATTGTGGTCCAACCCCCTGCAATGCAGGAATCTTTTTGCCTAATGTGGGGCTTGAACCCGTGAACCATGAGATTAAGAGTCTCCTACTCTACCAGCTAAGCTATTGCAGCATCAGTGGCCGTTTTCCTAATTGTGTGGGAAATTAAACTCTGCTTACAGAAGGGGCTGCTTGCAACTTGGCAGCAATTTTTGGACGCAGAGATAAGCAGATGTTTGACTGCCTGAGAGACTCCAGGAAGAACAAAGAGCGGCATAGGTATCAGGCAGGTCAGTGCCTGCAGAATAGGATCCCCTTCGTAAACCAGAGCGGCATGTTGGGTTCAAGTTGAGAGTTCAGTAGCATTCTTTAGTGGAATAATGGAAAATAGCAAATAATGTTGCCTGACAAATTTCAAATACATAAACAAAAAAACTTTGACATTGGTGTATCTTGACTTGATGAATTCAGGGTGGACCAAGTTCCAATGCTTTTAATAATGGCATAGAAAGGGGAATTTCAGCAAATGCAGCTTCTGCTACCACTATGACAGTATCGATAGAAGTTGCACTTTCCACAATTGTTCTTTCCATGCAGTTGTTGTTTTTTAAATGAAGAAACTGACTCAGATAATCCTACCCATCCCCATCATCGAATTATCATGGTCGAAACCAGCCATTCAGGATCAAGCAACACACTGAGGCTGGCATATTAAACATATAAGTAAATTCTAATGATTTGCAATAGATTTGCCAGGGTGTCTGATTCCCAAAGGTTTAACACAGCAGCAACAAAAATGCTCCTCCTCTCACTACCTATAAATAAATAAATAAATAAACTGCTTATGTTAAAAATTACGCACAGGTGATATTTGAAACCTCACCTCCTAAAATTACCATATATTTTAAAAAAACATACCCAGCATTATGTTGGAGAGATGCAAAGAAGAGAGGTCATACCAACATATGTGATGGACATGAACTAAGATAATAAGAATTTGGAACTATGTATTTCAGGAATTGAGCAAAATAATAGGCAAACCATTGGAGAAACTTAACAGTTAGCATTACTAATACATGGATACATAGATACATTCACTGTGGATTGGTACAACTTTATTGTATACACCAACACATCCAGCAATAACAGGATAATTCGGGAAGCATATAGAAGGATTTGGACTGTATGAGAACACTAGGACCGTTCTTTCAGAACCCAACGCTGTTGAATACCCATCTCTGACAAATCCATCTGGAAGATTAAAAAAAGAATTGTATTATGAAAAGCAATAAATATCCTGTGGAAATGCATGTGGTCATTTATATGTATGTTGTTGTTGTTGTTTTGAAAACCCAAATAAAGAAATAATAAATAAGCCAAAGATAAGAAAAAGAATTAGACTGCTAAAATAAGGAAAGCTTGGGAAGGGGAAAACCTGGAATGGATTTCTGTATGAAAGAACTGTGAGTTCAGTTCTGACACTGAAAACAAATCCCTGGGTCAAGAGTGTGCTCTGACAATACAGGTGTTGGAAGAAGGAAGAATGTTATTGGTGGCTGTGGGATGGAGCAAAAGTGGAGTTTGCTCTGCCAATTTCATTTCAGGAAACTCTGGTGCAATATTTCAAATATGAGGGGACCTCCAAAACTTATTGATATCACAAGCTATGCACCATTCGGATCCTTTATATTGGAACATTTATCATAGCAAATTAAGCCGAGTTATATAATTTGCACCAACCTTTTGTGTTCTGTGACATCTCAGGATGTTTCAGAAATGAATTTTCATTTCCATACCAAAGTTATAAAGATTAAAATCCTGGTTTCCCCCTATGAAAAGCCACCACGCTAATCAAATATTTGTATATGTTCCACCAGTGCTGCGAAACCTCCTGCCCTGGCTGCTATTGGATGAGCTGCCCTGATGTCAGCAGAGGGAGTGACATCAGGGCAGGAAGCAGCAGAGAGCTGAAGAAGCAGTAAGGCAAGGGACGGAGTGGTGAAAGAGGAAGAGGGTGGAAAGAGAAACAGCCACAGTAGGAAGAGGGGAGGGGAGTGGTAGGAAACAGAAAGAACAGAGTTTAGAGAGAGAGGGAGTATGTGTGTCTTGATGAAGATAGGAAGCTGAGTCAGACAAAATGAGGTGTAGTCAGTGGCAGCAGAAGAGATGAAGGTAACCCTGGTGTCATGGGAGGCAAGTGAGCAGGGAGGAAAGTGGGTGAGAAAACGAGCTCAGAAAAGAGAACACACATGTCCAGTTTCTGGAGGGGCAAGAAGGGCAAAACTTCAAGCATGTTGCATTATTTTATTTATTAAAGCATTCCATCCCTTATTTCAGCCCAAAGACATCTGGAGGGCATCTCACCTCCATAATATCAAAACCCATTCAATATACATTGGTTTAACATCATTAGAGCCAAATATTGGGCTACACGTCTCTGATGTTGACGTCTACATCCCAAAGCTCATGCACAGTATCTCCTTCCCTCTTTTATCTTCAGGACAAAGGTGCGTGGGGCCAGTCATTGTCACCCCCATTTTAGAGATGAAAAACTGAGGCTGAGGAATCACTCGAAGTAATGCAGTGGCTGCGTGGCCGAGCTGGCATACACTTCCTGGACCAACACATTCACTCCTGGATTTCATTTCCACCTGGACCGAGCCAAAAAGAAAAATGAAAAATCGCCTCTGGAAGAGTGTCGTTATTAGTCGCTGTCCTCTTCCTGCCGTGCTGATGGGACCGTCGAGCTTAGTCGTCTTCCCTGTTCACGAGGTGGTTTTATAGACCTACCATTAACTGATGATGCGCCTGATAATGTGATGAGGATCCTTCCCGCTGCCGAGGCTGATAAACCAGCTTAGGGTCACGCTTAAAACGAAGGTAATCTGGGAGTCGAAAGGGTGCCACTGCTCTACTTTTGCTTTTTTCCTGATGCAAAGTACCTGAAAACGCAGGCGCGTTGTTATCGATCCTTGAAGGCACTGCAGCCTCACGCCCTGATCATCTTTAGATCTCGGGTGCATCTTTGGATTGCATCCTGCTAATCCTCTGCTGGTCTAGCCCCAGGTGGCTTTCTTTCAGGAAAAGCAACGTCGGGCTTCCCTCTGGCCCTTGCGATTGTTTTCCAGGCTTTCTAGGCCACCGGGTTTTTTGGGGGTGGGGGTGGGGGGGTGAAGGAGAGAATCAGCACGAGACCGGAAAGGCTTGCTTGATCTCGCCGCAGCCCCGACTACCTGCGCCTCCCCTCCCCCGCAATTCTCAAGGATCATTCCCAGATTCCCCCCACGATTTCAAAGAGGTGAGAAAATGACCCCGACGTAGAGGCCCCGACTGAGAGTGGCTTGTTGCCAGACCACCCAGCGAGCCACGAGGACAGGCGAGGATTCGAACTCAGGATTCCCCAGGTTCTAGTGATTCGTCTATTGATCCAGCTTTCCGAGCCCCCTCTCTCTGTCTCTCTCTCTCCCCACCCACCCGCAATTTCTGCAAGAGGAAATCGTGGGGAGGTCTGAAGGCAGGCTCCCTTCCCAACTCCCTCGATTCCCTTCGCGTCCCGGTGGGTCCACAGCGCGGATGAGCCCCAGAGTGTTCACCCCTCCCCTCTCTGCTCGACATCGGGAGTGGGGACATTTGAAGGGACCTCTGCAGCGGTTCCAGGAACGCAAAAGAAGAAGATGTGGACCCCCTCCTGACCCGAATCCCCCTTTTGGGGGCGCGTCCAGATAGGCGAACCCCCTAAGCGCCCCCCCGAGAAATCCCCAGAGGAGGGAGGCCCTAGATCATCGCAAACGCGATAGGACGCCAGACACGAAGGACGTCGGGGCTATTCGGGTGGAGACCCCGGTGGGGGTGGGGGCGCGATCCGGAGAGGGATACCCCCTTCCCCAGCGTCTACGAGGGTATTCGGCTGGATCGTGGTGGGCTGACTGGGAACGAAGGCGCGCCATCTCCCCTCTCCTCTCTCAGACTGAGGGCTGGAGGGGTGCTGAGTCCCTTTTCCTGTAAAGGTAAGTCCATGGCGGTGAATCGCCATGGTGAATCGCCAAAGGGCGCACGGGCGGCGTGGGAATCCCGCTTACCCCGCTTACCTTAACCCCGGGGGCTGCTGATCGGGGGCAGGGCGGTTCTTTGGGGGAGAAGAGACGGCAAAAGGAGATCCACCCCAGGAAGCAGGATGATCTGGAGGCCCACCACGCGGGGCTCCGTCGGGGCAAGTGACCGTGTCCGGGTTGAGGAAGCGCCAGCTATTCCCACTACCCCACCTCGCTTCCCTCAATAAGACCTCGTTGGTCCCAATTGCGAGGTTCCTGTTTCCCTAAGGCGGATCTCTTTTCCATCTCTTTTCTATCCTTCGGCGCACGCCTCGCATTGGCTTCTTCAGCCGAAATGTGGAAGCTGCTTCGCTGGTCCTTAAAAATACTTAGCTCAAATAAGTTAAGCTTAAAAAAACCCCACACACCAACCCAACAGGATGGGGCAGGTGTTCTTCCTTCCCCTACCCCCGCTCTCTTCCCCAGCCGATTCGCACTAAAACGACCCCAAGAGGCAATTTTAACCCGGGCCAAAGTGCCCTAGATTTCTCTTTTCTTCCCCTCACCCCCACCCTCCGCCAGTTCTTCTTCCTCCTCCTCCTCCTCCTTGTCCCCAGTGCGTTGATTCAGGCCTTGGTAATTAATTTGGCATTTCAGAAAAGCCCCTGGTCTGGATAAAGCCGCCATTCATCCCCCCAGCCTAATCTGAACACAATCTGGAAGAAAAGCTTTCAGAGAGACAGAAAACGCCTTTCGCTTCGCGTTCAAAAGAGCTGTCACTCCGTCGGAATAAATCGCTTCTGATTATTTCGAACCGGGGCTCCTGCCTCGCCTTTGCGCCACGGACTTTTCTCTCTCTCGTTCCTTAGCCAATAATTATTTCTTTTCTAACCCCACCCCAAAAAGCCACCACCCTATTTAAAAAATAACTTTGCACTAATAGTTTTTAGAATATTTAGGCTTTTTTCTTTTACAGAAAGGGGAAAAATGCCTTCTCTCCGTAACTCCTTTCTCTCTTTTTTTGCGCTGCCTCTGGACCAGAAAGAGAGGGCCAAAACAACAAACCTCGGCAGAGGGAGTTGAAAATAAGCGTGTTGTTTCAGAGATGAAAAGAAGGACATGTGCAAAGCGGGAGGGGGAAGAGAGATCACGTCCGAAATCCGGAATTCAATTCAAAATGCGCTGTCTTTCAAAACAGTTCAGTTTAGACGCGCGCACCACTTGAAGGCTGTGATTCCGTTGCAATCAATATAAGGCAATGTACTGCATATTGTGTTTAGCATAGTTTCCTTCGTGGTCTCCCCGCCCCCCGCCCAAATACAACAACATATTTATAGGGGTTAAGTATTCCGATTTCGTTCCATTGTTTTATCAAGTCTCCGAGGTCCAAAAATGAGCCACGTTTCACTTTACTCTGAAAGGTGAAGCCGCTCGGAGGGGTGCGGGGAGTTAAGGACAGGGCCTCCTCTTCCCCATATTGCGGGGAAAGTACCCTCCCCCCAGGCAAAATTAAGCTCATCCTTCTACCCCCTGGAAAGTATAGGTCAAAAGGGCTTCGTTTGGGCTGCGTGCTCCGCGCTTTCCCCTCTTTAATGGCGAAGCTGCGGCGCAAGAAATCGCCCCGATTGCGCGCGCACACCCCCGAGGGAAGAGAGTGATGGGTTGGCAGCTCCCCCACCCCTGTCCAATCGCTGCGCGGAATGGAGGGTCTCTAACCCGAAGCAAAGGGGCCTAAGCAGAGAGCGCGCATCGGACGGCAAAGCTGACCCCGTCACCCCTGGGCCCTGCGGCAGCAGCCGACGAGGCGCTGGTTTCAGTCGCCCTTGATCAAAACTCGGGGAACCCGCGTCTGGACGAGGGGAAAATGGGCACGAGGGAGGAGGGATAAAAACACCCAGAGGAGAGAGGAAAGCTTGGGGAACGCGGGTGAAATTTTTATTATTATTATTATTATTATTATTATTATTATTATTATTATTATTATTATTTGGGGGAGGGGGCGTGGGAAATCTGATTAACGCGGGATCAAGCGCCAGAAAGTTTGCTTCCCGCTTTTCCCTCAAGAAGTCCTACCATGCAGAAATTCCTTCCTTCTAAAATAGTAAAACGCTCCAAAGAGAACAATACGATCATTTCCTTCTCTTCCTCCCCGCTTAACTCTTATTCCTTCGCTGTTGCATCGTTCCCCACCAAGGGAACTCTTCAAACCGAGAAATCCCGCCGGCCAACTTTGCCCTGAACAGCCTCTGGGACAGATCAAAACGGAGGTCGAGCTTGTGAGCCACTGAGCTGCGCTTCGCGGGGACCCGCCGTCGCGTAAAGAGAGAAAGGAGAGGTTTCCATAATATGTGAAGAGACCTTATTGGGAAAGGATTGGGGAGAAAAGAGCGGTGGCGGGGGGCCGGCTGAGAGACGGGTCGGGAAATTCTGAAATATTGGCAATGGGGTACATCCATGCAGATAAAGATGCCTTCGCACAAGCAGGTATCCCACCTGGCGCCTCATACGTCACTGATCTTAGGAGACACTGGCCTGGCGACAACAGAGGCATGTTGTCACTGTGCTTCGCCCTCAGTGATGGCGCTTGGCCTTGGGTAATTGTTCTATGTATCCAATACGCGGCTTGACCTGATGGTCATCATTCAGTGCAAAACACACACGTGGTGGCGACTCCGTCTAGCTCAGGGAATACCCTCCCCACCATGCTGCTGGACTGCAACACCCATCACCCCTGAGCATTGGTCATGCTGGCTGAAGGTTGATGGGGTTGGGAGTCCGGCCACACCTGGAGAAGCACAACTTCCCCACCTCTGGTGTAACACTTTCTTGAGAATGTGGTGGTAGCTCCCTTGCCTTGGAATTGACTAGATTTTTGTTGTTGTTTTTTTAAAAAAAGGAATATACAGTGGTACCTCGGGTTAAGTACTTAATTCGTTCTGAAGGTCCGTGCTTAACCTGAAACTGTTCTTAACCTGAAGCACCACTTTAGCTAATGTGGTCTCCTGCTGCTGCTGCTGCGCCACCGGAGCACAATTTCTGTTCTTATCCTGACGCAAAGTTCTTAACCCGAGGTACTATTTCTGAGTTAGCGGAGTCTGTAACCTGAAGCGTCTGTAACCTGAAACATATGTAACCCGAGGTACCACTGTAATAGGGTTGCATTGTGGAAATCATCTTAATGCTGCCCTTGAACTGTTTCCTCAAAATGAAAGTTAGTTTGGGCTTCCTTGATTCTGCAGCATAAGGATTTTAGCAAACCGAGCAGCAATTGGCCTTAAGGTCCGGCAGGTTGACTAAGCATTGTGCATCGTGATCCTATGCATGTTTACTGAGAAGTATCCCTTACAGTATTCTGTGGAGCTTACTCCCAGGTATCTGCGCATAGAATTGGAGTCATATGCAGAATAGGTCTGGGAGATATCCGGGATTCATTGTTGAAGATTACTATAGAGAATTAAGTGCATACTGTACACAAATGTACCTATGTTTTTGCTGCATAGGCACTAACCTGTTTGTAGCACAAAAATGTAGCTTTTTGCAATCCATAAATGTTTGTGCTGGTCGTCATCATCCTGCCCTCCTGAACCCTTGATTAGGTTATCTATGTCTTTTCCTCCCTGTGCAGGCCCCAGCTGAATGAAGAAGGAAATGGTGATTGCCTCTTGGTCTACTCTATGCACACCCACAAGGTCATTGGGCAGCTAGGGAGACACGCAAACAAACAAACAAAGAAACAAACACTGCATTGTTGGACACCCCATTGGGTAATGTAGAATAAATATGCAATGAGCTCTTATTTTCAGAATGAAGCCCGTTCCCCAAAAGGGGTTTTTATGGGCAAAAAATATGTGATAGATCTAGGTTATGTACAGACTAGGTAGAAAAAACAAATATTCAGTCTCCATTGATTCAAGAGTGAAATATTGTGTTCACACCACCTAAGTTGGTATTTATTTGTTTTCCTCACTACCCTGTAAGGGGTTAGAAATAAGAATAGGGGGAAAAGTTAGGGATCTCAATCCAGTTAAATCATACTTGAAGTAGAACCATTGAAATTAATGAACTTACTTTGATTTCAATGGGGTTGCTCTGACTAACATTAGCTTTCACCCACAACTCTGTAAAGTGGTTAAGCTTTGTCTGTCTCAGTCAAAGAATTCACACTTTATGGGGTTAGAGTATGTCTCCTCTCCCCCAGTAAGGTTTCCACAGTGAAACCATGACACCATCCAATCCAATATTCCCTTCTGGTGGTTCCCCTCCATGGACCCCTTGAAAATTGTTGAGGCTCTTGGCAGTCCACTTAATAATTCTTCTGCCCATTGCAGCAGTTGTAATGTGCTGTGGTAGATGTTGTGTGATTTTTAATTGCATTTGTATTGCTTCTTTTAATTCTTATGTAGTATTTCATTGTCTGGCAATCTGAACACTAAGGAAATCAAATTGTAAGTGTTGTTTAGAGGCATGCCACAAAGTCCACCTGAATGAAGCTTGTGGACCACTGGTGGTCTGCAGACCACAGTTTGGGAATACCTGGTATTTTTATCCTAAAGTGGTCACTTCTGGAATTCCACATGAAGGTCCTCACATAGTGTTTGTCCTTAGCTCTCCAGTTCAGAGGTCTCTGTGCCTGGAAGCTCCATTCCCACTATCATTCATCAATGCTCTCAGACTTCCCCATGAATTTGGAAGCTCTATATGCCATGAATTTGAAATCCGAGAAAAGAAAAGAAAACCCTAATTCAACCTAGGGGCCATCTCCAGATGGACTGCCAAAACAAACAAACAAAACCAATGATTAAAGCACAAATCGGGGGTGGGGGGCACTCATTAGCCCTGTTAAAAGGCTAACAGTATAGGGTAAGATGAGACCAACAATAAAAAATAATTTGCAGCACTTCCTGAGTCTTTGTTAAAAACAAAGAAAAATCCACTTACAAATATGAGAGTTTTGCATAAGGTGTCTCTGTTTCCTTATGACAAAATAAGTTATTTGTCAAAAATGTGTCCCGAAACTAGGCGGATTACAGCATAGAAATGCCCACTCATTAATATTATCAATTATCAATTATGTAGAGGAGCATAATAAAAAGCTAACTTGATCATTTCCCCCCACTTTCTATGTCATTATGGTTTACTTATAATCCCCTTGTCTTTGGAATGTTAGTACAGACCATTCTGTTGAAAAAAAGCCCTGGAAATAGGAGACCTCACTGCTCTGGTACCTCTACTATTATATATTTGCTGGCAGGTGAATAGAAATGCCCGTTGGCTTTATTATTATTTTTTAGGATTAAAAACTGCAGGTCAAGGAGACTCTACCACATTTGTGCCATGTAATCCTTGGCATGTTTACTCAGAAGTAAGTTCTGCTGTGTTCCACGGTGCTTACTTCCAAATAAATGTGTTTAGGAACTTAAAAAAACCATGACCAGCTAGTTTGGGCCACGCTATGCTTTAATGCAATCAGAGGTGGATTTAGGGAAGCACAAACAGTCACACACACACCCCACTGGACACTGAGCTAAGGGGAGCACCGCA